CAAAGAATATCAAGTCTACTATCCCTAAAACTGAGAATGCTAAGGAATATATGAAGTTTGTGGAAGAACGTTCTCAAACAGCTGACAAATCACTTGCTGGCACACTGATGGATACTTTAACCACCATGAAATTTGATGGTTCTCGTACCATGCATGAGCATGTTACTGAAATGAGTAACATTGCAGCAAGACTTAAGACTCTTGGGATGACTGTGGATGAGAACTTTCTGGTACAATTTATCATCAACTCTTTGCCTTCCGAGTACGGTCCATTCCATATGAACTATAATACCTTAAAGGATAAATGGAATATGAATGAATTGCACAGTATGCTCGTGCAAGAGGAGACAAGGCTTAAGAATCAAGGAACTCATTCTATTCATCTCGTAAGTCATCAAGGAGCTGGAAAGAAATATAAGAAAAGACCTGGAAAGGGCATTAAGCAAGGACCACTAAAGATAAATGAGTCTTCTGCCCAAATCCACAATAAGGAACACAAGAAGGATACGTGCCATTTCTGTCGTAAACCTGGGCACCATAAAAAAGACTGTCTGAAACGTAAGGCATGGTTCGAAAGTAAAGATAAGATTATTTCTTATGTATGTTTCGAATCTAATTTGGTAGAAGTTTCTTATAATACTTGGTGGATTGATTCCGGATGTACCACTCATGTTACTAATACGATGCAGGGATTCCTTTCAACCCAGACCATAAATCCAAATGAAAAGTTTGTCCTTATGGGAAACCGAGTCAAAGCTCCAGTTGAAGCCATTGGAACTTATCGTTTGATTTTAGATACTGGACATCATTTAGATTTATTTCAGACTCTATATGTACCTTCTATTTCTCGTAATTTAGTTTCCTTATCAAAACTTGATTCTGTTGGATATTTCTTTGATGGTGGAAATGGATGTTTAAATTTGTTTAAACAAAATCATCTTATCGGTTCCGCTATTCTTTGTGATGGCTTATATAAATTAAAGCTTGATAACCTCTTTACCGAGACTCTTTTGACCTTGCATCATAATATTGGTACTAAACGTGGTTTACTGAATGAACGATCTGCTAACTTGTGGCATAAACGTTTGGGTCACATATCCAAGGAAAGGATAGAAAGATTAGTAAAGAATGAAATCCTTCCTGACTTGGATTTTAGTGAAATTGAAACTTGTGTGGATTGTATTAAGGGTAAACGAACCAAACACACAAAGAAAGAAGCCACAAGAAGCACACAGCTTCTTGAGATAATACATACCGATATATGTGGGCCTTTTGATATTTCATCATTTGGTGGGGAAAAGTATTTTATCACCTTTATCGATGATTTTTCACGTTATGGTTATGTCTATCTACTGCATGAAAAGTCTCAAGCTGTAAATGCTTTAGAGATTTTTGTCAATGAAGTTGATCGACAATTAGACAGAAAAGTGAAAATTATTAGATCTGATAAAGGTGGTGAATATTATGGAAAGTATGATGAAACTGGACAACACCCAAGTCCATTTGCTAAATTTCTTGAAAGACATGGCATATGTTCTCAATACACTATGCCAGGCACACCACAACAAAATGGTGTGGCTGAAAGGCGTAATCGTACTCTAATAGAAATGGTTAGGTGTATGTTAAGCAATTCTTCTTTACCCATATCTTTGTGGATGTTTGCATTAAAGACTGCTATATATCTACAAAACAGGGTTCCTAGTAAGGAAGTTCCAAAGACTCCTTTTGAACTATGGACGGGAAGGAAACCCAATTTAAGGCACCTGCATATTTGGGGTTGCCCAGCAGAAGTAAGAATTTATAATCCACATGAAAAGAAACTGGACTCAAGAACAATCAGTGGATTTTTCATTGGTTATCCAGAAAAATCAAAAGGGTATAGATTTTATTGTCCTAACCATAGTACTAGAATTGTTGAAACTGGAAATGCTAGGTTCACTGAGAATGGTGAAGTTAGTGTGAGTTTTGAACCACGAAATGTGGAAATACAAGAAGTTAGAGTTCAAATTTCTCTACCCTCAACTTCTTCTAATATTGTTGTTCCTCAAATTGTTGAACGACATGAAAATTTACCTGAACAACAAATAAATGGTCAAACACCTCACAATGAAGTTGCCACCGACGAACCTGCATTAAATGAACCACAAGAAATAACATTAAGAAGGTCACAAATATAACGTAGACCTACTATTTCTTATGATTATGTGGTTTACCTATAAGAGTTTGAATTTGACTTGGGAATTATTGATGATGATCCAGTTTCATTTTCACAAGCCATTGAGAGCGCTAATTCTGATAAGTGGTTAGATGCTATGAAAGATGAGTTGAAATCTATGGAACATAACGAAGTCTGGGATCCCGTTGAATTACCAGAATCATGTAAAAGAGTTGGGTGTAAATGGGTCTTTTAGACCAAGCGCGACTCTAATGGTAATATCGAACGACATAAAGCTAGACTTGTTGCCAAAGGTTTTACTCAGAAAAGTGGCATTGATTATAAGGAGACATTTTCACCAGTCTCTAAGAAAGACTCACTCAGAATTATAATGGCCTTAGTAGCTCATTATGACTTAGAACTACATCAAATGGATGTGAAAACTGCCTTTCTAAATGGAAATTTAGATGAAGAAGTTTATATGGATCAACCTGAAGGTTTTTCAGTTAAAGGAAAGGAACACATGGTATGTAAGTTAAAGAAATCAATATATGGACTTAAACAGGCTTCCCGTCAATGGTATCTTAAGTTCAACGATACCATTACTTCCTTTGGATTTAAGAAAAACGTCGTTGATCGATGTATATATCTGAAGGTCAATGGGAGCAAGTTTATATTTCTGATTCTGTATGTTGATGATATCTTACTAGCTACTAATGATTTTGGTCTATTATACAAGACTAAGAAATTTCTCTCTAAAAATTTTGAAATGAAAGACATGGGAAAGGCAACCTATGTAATTGGAATTGAAATATTCCGTGATAGGTCACAAGGGTTGTTAGGGTTGTCTCAGAAAGTATACATCAATAAAGTTTTAGAGAGATTCAATATGAAAAATTGTTCAGCGGGTGTTGTTCCAATTCAGAAAGGAGACAAATTTAGTCTCATACAATGTCCTAAAAACGAATTAGAACGCAAACAAATGACAGCTATTCCTTATGCATCTCTTGTTGGGAGCTTAATGTATGCTTAGACTTGCACCAGACCAGACATCAATTTTGCTGTTGGAATGCTGGGCAGGTATCAAAGTAACCCGGGACTTGATCATTGGAAAGCTACAAAGAAAGTATTGAGATACTTGCAAGGAACGAAAGATCACATGCTCACTTATATGAGATCTGATAACTTGGAGGTCATTGGATATTCAGATTCGGACTTTGCTGGATGTGTGGATACTAGAAAGTCCACATTTGGCTATTTGTTCCTCTTAGCTAGAGGGGCTATATCATGGAAAAGTGCGAAGCAGTCAATCATTGCTGCATCCACTATGGAAGCCGAGTTTGTGGCATGCTTTGAGCCCACAATTCAAGGAAATTGGCTGCGGAACTTTATTTCAGGACTTGGGATTGTCGACAGTATAGCCAAGCCATTGAAACTTTACTGTGATAATTCTATAGCAGTCTTCTTTTCAAAGAACGACAAGTACTATAAAGGTGCAAAGCACATTGAATTGAAGTACTTTGCCATTAAAGAAGAAGTTCAAAAACAAAGGGTGTCAATCGAGCATATTAGCCCCAATCTTTTGATTGCAGATCCATTAACAAAAGGATTGCCACCAAAGACATTCAATGAACATGTCGAAAGGATGGGCATTATTGAAAATTATCATTAACATTATTATGCAATTTATGATGCTTATGTATTGACATTTTGGGCTCATTTATGTATTGTTTTTGACAAAATATTGTTCCTGTCATAACTGTTGGTACATGTACGTGAATGAATTGTGCAAATGCTGACAGGAATAGTCTTTTCGAAAACATTAATGTAATGCAATTATCGAACTTCTCATTATGCGTCATGTTGGGTAGGGACTAATACTGTAGTACATGGAAGGAATTATGCTTATATGATGGTGTAAAACCGCCATGACTCTTATTAGTCTTTACTTAAGGATGATATATTAAGTGACCAATGTATGATGGATTTTAGCTAATGGTATGCACATTATGTTATATACCACATAACAAAACAATATTACACGGGCCAAGTGGGAGAATGTAAAACCAATTATTTGTGGCCCATGTAATATTAAAGAATTAATTAAAGGTGGTTAATATTACTAAAATCCTATTGGCCCAATTGAGAAATGGTACCTTTGTAATTGTCTACTTTGATGGAAAGTTGAGAGTTTTATGACACAAAAGGAGACTGCCTCTCTCTGCCTATAAATGTGAATGAAACCCATCAATTAATTCATTTAATAAAAAAGAGGAAAAGTGAGAGAACGGTTTCTTTAATTTAACAGTTTATTATTTTGCAGATCTAAAATTCTCAATTATTACCATGGATCAAGGTATGTTTCTTGATCAATTAAATTCATATGTGAAAATCATGAATTCTAAACATCTTGGTATTAGGGTTTAATGTCTTACATAATACATGTACTATAATTGCACATTATTCACTATAATCAACTAAAACAGATTTATGGTATCGTCAGAGAATAAAAAGTAGGACGAGAAAAGCCCTCCTGGTTCAATCCGTAAATTTTCTTGGGTTTCTGCAACTGCATCTGATGAATTGGAACTATCTTTTGGAAGGTAGTAGTAAGGACTCAAAATATAAGGATTTGGGCTTAGTAATTCATCATAATTCAGTTCCCGTAACGACTCAATATAATTGGGTTGACTTGGTTCAGTCCACAGAGTTCCTTCCACTGAATCCCAACAAGCCGTATCATGTGCTGCACAATTCGTATTATTGAGGAATGGAACCGAATTTTCCAGTTCTTGGAGACTTGAGGATTGGGCCACAACAACGTCCTTTGAGGCAGATTCTTCCTGTGATATCTCAGACAATGAGGAAGTTCTTGTAACATTTCTTTTGAAGCGTTTCTCTACATGTGCATGCCAGAAGTTTTTTATCCCGTTGTCTGTTCTTCCAGGCAATTTTTCTGCAATGGCTGACCACCTTTATTTTACAAGTAAGAGCAGTGTTAGAGGAATAAATAAGCCCTTGCAAACTAGACTTTATCCCAAAAAATTGTAAATGCATATAAAAATTAAGCAATGCAATTACAATATCTTGATTAGCTTAGGGAAATACAGCCAAATTTAATAAATAAACATGCCTGGACTAACCACTTAAGATAGTATCTTTTTAGATCAAGAGGTAACAACACATTCACAATACTTTCCAATAACTTTGTGTGAAAGTGTGAGAGCTAAGTTAGATTAACAAATAGGATTAATCTAACATATGTTTTTCTTAGACGAGTTGGTTAACATAGAAAGCTTGCATTTATGTGATACATATATTTCAATTGAGGATTATTACGTACTTGTTTCCAAGTTTGGCATGTTGTTCCATGATAAGATCAACTTCCTCTTTACTGTAGTTCCCTCTTTTCACTCCAGGCTTCAGGTAATTTACCCACCGCAGTCTGCAACTCTTACCAATTCTTGCTAAACCTGGAAGGTATGCAATATGATTATTAAATAAATTATATCCCTCTTACACTGATTAAAGCTTTGGAGTTCCCAAGAAAGGATAGAAAAATATCATATATAGATGTATAAATCAGCTACAAATAAGGTAGAAATAAAGTAAATACAGCATATATTTGAGAAAGTAGTTGCTAGAAATTAGGGTTTATCTTCTCTTAACTGGGGTTTAAATTTTCAAAATTGTAATAGCAAAAGAATTTCATAATGAAAATATTGTTTATACAGTTAGCAATTTATCAGCTTCTTTATTTTTTTATAAATTAAACCATGGAGAATAGCAGTTCTTACCTGCATAACTGGGTAGCAATCTCCAATTCGAGTGCCCGTAGCTCTGAATATGTTCTCTTAACTTTTTATCTTCTTCTTCACTCCACGCACCTTTCTTCAATCCATTACTGTCAACATAACAGGGCTTCACCATTTTCTTGCACACCCTTTTTTCTCCTTTTTACTGCTCTATCTCTCTGTTGATGCTCAAAAGTAGTACACTATATATATATAAGCTGAAAGAAACAAATTACTAAGAATTTTCCACAGGATTGATTTCCACTGTCAACGTACGAAAAAACTAAGAAATGATGTGTGGAAGATAAATAATTGAAGAAAGAGAAGCAACAAGGAGACTTCTTTGTATAGTAATTTAACCTAATGGAAATATTTTTAATTATAAAAAGCTTTTCTTAAATATTTTAAGTTTAAAAGCATTTCTACCATATTTGAAGCCGCCATGAATTTGTTTTTCGTGCTTAAAATAGCCAAAAGTAGATTTTAGTTTAATTGCTTCTAAATACATTCTGGATTTAAGGATTTACGATGGGAATATTCATAAATTATTGGGTATAAATTTTTCATCAATAATCGAATTTTTATTTAGGTCCTCGTGTACTGTTATTTTGAAACATGATTAGGAATAACACAATCATATCCTCTTTTTCAAGCTTCATCTAGGAATAAGCTTAATTGCACGTTTAAATTAAAAAGTAACATGATTTCAAGGTTTACATACATACATACATACAAATTCACGTTATATATCTACTATAATATAAATATTACATTATATTTTCTTATATATATTTCTACAAAATTTCATGTCCTAATTATGAGACAACAATTTTTCGT